AGGGACGGGGCCCACAGCGGAGAGGAGCCTCCACTGTGCGCTCCGGTTCGGTATATAGCCGGAGACAGGAGCACCCATTCAGCTCCGGCTTATACCTGCAGCGGAGGTACCCGCTGCCGGGGAGTTGACGGTCGGAGCACCAAGCGTCAACTGAGCTCGACTCGCCTGCTCCGGAGGGGCTTTTATACCCCCCGGACGGAGGCGCGCGGGGTGAGGCGGCGGGGGCGGGTGCGGCGTTGCCGGTTGCCGTCAACGCGTGGCAACCGCGCGTTATCGATTTTCTCGCCGGCTGACTCCGACGTGGCAACCGCGCGTTATCGATTTTCCCCGGCTGGCTCTATTTCCTTCTCTCTCGCTCGAGGAATTCGGGTTTTTTCTAACGCGGCCGCACCTCCCCGGTCGCCCTCGTTACACCAATATTTATAGAAGAAAGAGTGAGCATGATTATGAAGGTATAAAGTGTGTATTATATAAAATGAGATGAAAGACAGAATCGATAAATCCCACCCGATGTGCCGATTACCATTCCACATAATAATCTGTAGTCAATTGACAGATATTTGATAACCTAGTACTACGACGGTCCAAAAGTTCTTTTTTGTCTATTATCGTGCCGTTCCAGCATATCGCAGATGCTCTAGTAGCCTACACCTAAATTCTTTTATTTCTCCTACTTCTCGCAGCTGCGTTGGCAGACCGTTCCAGAGTTCCGCGGCAAAACTACAGAAAGACCGTTTATAGAATTCAGTTCGGCATTGTGGTAGGATCAATTTTTCCCCCGGTGTTCTGGTGCCCCTACACGTTCTGTCACTTCTAAACTCAAAATTGTTAAAAATTGATTTTGGTTTTTTCTTGTTGATTACTGAAAAGGTGAAACATCCGACGTGATATTGCCTTCGAGTCTCGACTTTAAGCCACCCCAATCTCTCGAAATATGGTGTTATGTGCTCATCCCAGCCGACATGAAAAATAAATCGCATGCACCTGTTGAAGGCTCTCTGCAAACGACAGTTTTGCTCTCGTGTAATATTAGTCAACACCACGCAGCAGTAGTCAAAAATAGGAGTTATCAGGGTTTGAATGAGGCGCACTCTCAGTGTGTCCGGTAAAAGATGTCTACAAAGTTTCAACTGGTGGAGCGTCGTATTGACTCTAGATACAGTCCTCGACACATGCCTTTCCCAGTTTAGCGTCCCCGTGATAGTGACTCCTAAGTACTCTACACTGTCAGTCCAACTTATTTCCGTTCCGTCTACCAGGAGATCGGGCAGTGCATCTCTGTCCAGCCCGCTTATGTGTCGCAAAGTGCCTAGTACCATTGCCTTTGTTTTATTGCTTCCTCATAGAGGAAGCTTTGTTTTCGTGAAAAAAATTTTTTTCCAGTTTTCTTTGAAAATATGTTTAGAATGTTCTAAAACGTTCAAAAATCACATTTAGAAAAAATGTCGTTATGTATGTATGTATGTGTGTATGTATGTATGTATGTATGTATGTATGTATGTATCCATATAAGTTTACTCTAAATAACTTTTTAAATATGTAAGATGGAAAAAAATGTTAAACATGAAAGTTGTACGGTTTCAAGTAATGCATTACATAGTAATATAAATATGACCTTGAACAGCTACCTCAAGGTCACGTAAAGATGACCTTGAAATTTTTAAATGGAACCCTCTTTTTTTAATGCATATTCTTATAGCTTACCTCAAGAACTTTCCAAAACACTATACATTATATTTTCGTTAGGTACTTTCGGAGTTATGTGCTTTTGAATGTTACATTATTCTCAGAAATCGCATTATTTAAGGTTGAGTTTTTGAATATGATATTGAATATGATTGTTATGATGATAAATTTTTTGAGAAATGTCTGTGGTTGCTGTAACTATCGCAAATTATCTTTAATAATGATTTCCAAAAATTTCAAATGTCTATAACTCAAGAACTAATTAATCATATTTTAATGAATCATATATGAAATTTTGATAGAAAAACTGAAGAACAATATAATATATGTATAATTAGAAAAAAGTAAAGTAAAGTAAAGTGTGCAAATTAGAAATTTGC